CTACACCGGGATGTTTTTGTTGGTCACTGTCGAAATGATGTTCCCAAGGGGATTGAAAAAGCTGCGGAAGTCTAACTCATCCTCTTTATCTTTTCTGCTTCGTCAGCTGTCCCTAGGGTGTCCCTTCAAAATGCAACTTGAGGGAGTGTTCCCCTAAATTCGAAAGTATGCGAGCTACGAGTCGGGGGTATCCCCATTGGTTTCGTTTTTCTTGTGGTTGACAGCTGAAATTAGGGCTTTGAGGTTCGGAAGGGCCTGTACAGGTTTAGGCTTTCAAGCGTTTAGTGGCTGATGGCTTTTTTGGTAAAAGTGAGGGTTTGGGTGTCTTAGGGGTTTGGGTAGTTAAGGTATTTTCGGGTTCAGCAGCTTCCTTGCTCAGAAGGAGTTTAGGGTTTGCGGTGTAGGGCGTCTAAGGGGTTTTCCAAGGCCTTAGGGTTAAGAGGTCTTAGGGTTTCGGTGTTTTTGAGTTGAAGGTTTTTTAGGGTTCAGGCGTCTAAGGGATAAGGTGATTTCGGGCTTCGGGTTGGTTGGGTTTAGTGGGTTCAGGAGGGTTTGAGTTTCAGGGTTCGAGGGTTTTAGGGTTACGGTCAGGGGTAGTTTAGGCTTTAAACAGTTTAAGGCTTGAGGTTTGAGCATGCCTTCTAACTTCACGGCTTGAATAGCTGCCCTTCTTACTGAACAACCATGCCCCTCATACGTGTACCTGTACCCTCGCCAAGAACGACTAATAGATGCACAGAGCAATTCTTTTGTTAGACAAGGCTCAGTTGGAGAGAGGTTCCCAAAGAGATAGCACGAGATGAAATGTAACTTGAAGGGGGGGTCCGAAATGCAACTTGGGGGATTCCAGCATTACAAGAGTGCAACCGAAGCTGCATGTAGAGCATAAGAAACGTAACCCCTGGTGGGGTCCCAGTGACGAAGCCCGGCTCAGAAATGTAAGTCTAGGCTGTCCCCCATTTGCCTGAGACACGGAGCCATTGGCCCCAGCTCAAAACAGCTGCGCAAAATATTGGCTGAATTAGAACATGCTTCCAACAGAAATCCTACACCCTGTCTGGGCACTTGACACTTTCAGTATCCTGAACTCATAAAATCTGGACGCTCAGATTCACTGCTTACGAGCTTGTTTGAGGTCATTGGAGTTACTGGTAAGGAGGAGGAATCCTTTATGCATACTGCATCATATTGCGAGGATGCAGTTTACAGAAAAGCAGAGGCTGCTGACGACGCCATGAGACCATCTTCCTTGAACCATTTTGCTGGAGATAGCAATAGCATCAAGTGCCATTCTCTGACGAGGCCGTTTCCAAAGAGGGAGACACGGAAATGGCGACTCAGGCAAAGCCTGCTGTTACTGAAAGTTACGTACTGAGTGATGTGGTCTGCCCAGGATTGCCACTCCATGCCGGCAGCTTCAAAGAGCGCAGAGCAAACAGAGAAAGAAGTCGAGGACATGTCAAAAACCACACATGCCAGATCATGCCAGCCGTAGGCTTCCGAGGGTGGCGTGTCAGCATGGGCAGCCTGAACCGGGGCGAGGGGAAGCGGAGCTTTTCCGGCCTACCCCAGGATAAAGAAAAATGATATAAGTGCAGATGTGATGTTCGTTCACATCACTGATGTGTTCTTAGCCTTTGCCCTTTGCTCTTTTTTCCGTGGCTGTGTTGAATTGATACCTCGTTGACAAATTGGGAAGTACTAGGAGGGAATAGCTGGAGATGTGAAACTCTGATGACTCTGACGATGTTGTGGTGCTGATCCGGTTCGGGCGGGAGAGCAGATGGACTTGAAGGCTCCGAGACCCAAGTGGAGGCTGGCGTCGAGCGTCCAGAACAGGATAAGAAAGCTTCCTTTTGCCAAGTGGCAACCATGGAAGGTCAGGAAAGGGCGGTAGCCTTACCAGTCAGGACGCGTGCAAAGAGGAGGAACCGGCAGCAAAGTCGCCAGAGGCAAAGGGGTGCACCGCTGGGATCGAGAGGGCAAGGTGATTGGAGTGGTGTGTGCGTCTGGACGCATGTCTTCAGGCTGCAGGAGAAAAGTCAGTCTCAGTCGAGAAAGAAGCTGCTGAGGACGCTAGCCAACCATCTTTTCTGAAGCCAGCCATTCTCTGGTAAGGCCGTTGTGGAAGATGGAGACAGGGAGATGGCAACTCGGGTGACGCTTGCTGCTGCGGAAAGTTGTGCATTGAGGATGTGCGATCACCTGGCCAGGGTTACGACTCCATGCGTGCAGCTTCAAAGACTGCAGAGCAGGCAGAGCAAGAAGTCGCCAAGGACAGCGTATGCCAGTCGTAGCCTCCGGAGGGTCGTAGCCACAGTAGTCTCAATAGCGGGACTGATTAGGACCCGAGACTCTTGGTGGCATGACTCTGACTCCAGGAGAAGCCGCGCCAAAGGCTACCTCCCAAGCACAAGGTGCAAACTAATTATGTTGAATCCGCACCAGGCACTTTCGGTGGCATGTTTTGCTAGGCGGCTCCTCCAATTTTCCATCGGCCTCCCTTACAAAGGCCTGCTTGAGCCCCGGACTACAAACTAGCAGCAGTCCCGCGCCTTTTAGATCTTTTTGCTCTGCGACTCAGGCCCCAAAACGAATGCCAGTGCGCCAAGTTCAAGGGCACGACTATTCGCAAATGCCTGATGTGCCGGATTGGCTGAAAGAGAAAGAAAATCGAGCATACCAAATATATGCGAAGAATCCGCCTCTTGGCCACAATCCACCAACAGAGGCCAGAAGGAGGGGCTGGCGGTCCCTCTAGAAAAGACATGCTCATGTCAGGCGTGGAGATGGAGAGCGAGGCGAACCCGCGTCGAATCCTCAAGTTGGCAAGGCCAACTGCAACGTTTGGCAAGTTACGGGAACCGCGTCTCCCCGAGGAATTGGAGCAGATTGTGCAATCCGGAAACCCAGGGCTGGAGACCATCGAGGACATTGCGAGCGATGTTTGTAGGGAACGGAAGATTGGGCCCAGAAACATCCAGAAACGGTGCTAAGATAACTTTAAAGTCCCCTGGCCCTCTAAGTTCATGGTTCCTGCATCCTTTTGCCAAGTTATCCAAGTCCCAAACCCCGGTTTGGAACCTGTTGTGCGTGAATCATGGCTGGTGATTTGGCAAGGCACCGCCCCAGCTCTAACCCCAAGACCCAAAACTCAGAAAATATTTGCCAACCGCTTGATTTTGAACCCCAAGCACCTAACTCGCGCTCTTGATCGCTCTTTCAAAGTGAGGCCCCGAAGAAAACCATGAAATGACCTTGAAGATACAGTGGAAGTATGTGAAAGTCCGCCTTAGCTATGAAAGACCCTGCATACCCATGAATTACCCGTGAAGCCACAATGTGCTGAAACCCGACAGCGATTGGGCGGAAGCCGCCTGGGATTCTCACACCATTTTTTTGAACTATAGCGGCTGCATGTTCAAAATCTGGCATAGCGAGACCATGAAGGTCGTGCCAGCCTGTCGTAACAAAACTGCGCCCAAGTCAGCCAGAAGCTGCAAGTCCTGAATCCTTGTTTACGTCGGATCGTTTCGGTAGTTTGTTCCCCATTCTTGACGGTTCGCTATTACTGTTACCTTCAGAGCTGAACTGCAGAAAAGCTTCAGAGATGTTCTTTTGTATTTTATCCTCCGTGCTATCATCCTGTTTCAATTGCCTGTGATCGTGATTCTCCCCCCCAGCTGTTGGAAGCGTGAACAAGACAGTGAAAGGCACGTGAAATTTCAAGATCATATATCTTAGACCTACAGTCCCATGAAGCGCGTCTTTGGGAAGGCCAGCCGAGCATGTATGAGTTATGAATGTATGGCAGGGGAACTCGCACGGGCACCTGTGCCAGGACAGATTGCTTGCTTGCCCAGTTCGCCGCTTGCTCTGTGGTTTGCGCTCCTTGGTGGATTAAGGATTTTTGCCTTGCTTGGGGTGACTGTCTGACCTGAGCTCATTGTCACATGTTGGAACAGGTAAACATGCAGATGTTCAGGGCACTGGCAAGGGCGCAACCTTGCCTGACAAGGTGCCCGTGACGGTCTGAGATTCCGAGCCTTTCTGGCGTGCCGCTTGTCAAGATACCAATCTGTCCCACAATCGTGAAACCGGCTGAGGAGACAATATTCACTCTCCTGTCTTTCGTGTGGTGCTCGTGGTGCGAACTGACCTCCAGGCAGAATGGGGGGTATTGTAATAGATCCTTGAGGTCTGCAAAGCCTATACCAAGATCTTCTCAAGGCACTGGGCTCAACATGATTTTCTACCCTTTGGCCATTCTTTAGCCATTATGATCCTGATTTGGATGGAGGTTGAGTGCGGAGATGAAGAAGCTGCTTGCGACTCAGGTATGGGAATCGGTATGGACCTCAAACTGCTGTAGTCGCCAGACTCCCCAAAGTCTGCTAAGCTACTTTGCCAAGCATCCTGGCAAGGTTCTGTATGTGGAGGACAAGTTCTGCGACCCGACCTTCAACCGTCAGGCATGGTGATGTAACTGGTTAGACAAGTCTTCGGCTGGCATTCCCAAACATCGCATCAGTTCAATTTCGGAATTGTGCTCCAGGCTGCGCGAACCCTCGGCCTTGTGATGGGGCCGGACCTGGCTATCGCCATGCCGGAAATGAGGTGGCAACACCTGCGGTCTTTAGCATGTGCAGCAGCTAGGCTCTGTAGCTTTCATTGAAGGCCCCAAGTGGAGCAGACCGCGAGGCAATGACCGACGGCGCTGATTTGTTTTGCTGACATGCTGTGCGAGGTCACCTGCAGCAGCTAAGCCACCTCCAGCAACAAAGGCATCAAGCAGGCTCTCGAAGCAACACCTGCGGCCTTGATGTTGGCTAGCTGCCGCCCAGGTCAGGGCCATCAGAACAACGTGGCAGGCCTAGCAACCAAGCAGACGTTCCCAAACAGGGTGTTGCTGGGTATCCCATCCTGGCAGGAAGAGAAAGTACGAGGGCTTCTTTCCGGTCGACGATGTGAACTTTTCGCAAAACAGCATTGGCGAGAGGTTCAGCTGCGGCCGCAGAATGCAAGACACGGTCGAAGATTTGATGGATGACCAGGCCAGGAATTAGCAGGTGAGCAGAACGAAGATGGAGGAAGCAACTGCATTGCAGCCAGAATTTTGAAGGTCAATCCGGAGCGGGATCAATTCCTCAGATTGACGGCCATGAGCGTAGGCGGTAGACTAATCAGCCCGACTCCAAGCATCGCAAGAACATCTTAAGTGAGATTGAAACATCTGGCAAGCTGGAACCCCATGTTCTGTGTGGTCAGGTCGCAACAATCGACGTTTATGGTGCCTGAAAGAGTATCAAAAATTGAAAAGACAGAGGAAGAAGTCTTTCACGGTCAAGGTGTTCTTGTACGTGCGCTTCTCAGGAGCGATTCTTCATGTTTGGGGTCCTGCTGGTGTCTTGCTCGTGGAAGCTAGCCTTGCTTAGGTGACAGAGGTAAAGGACAGGGGCATTGAAGATTTCATACAAGCAAGAACGTGTGAAAGAGGCTATCACCTGAGCTTGCGCTTCTGGATCTCTAGTCTTGTCAGATGTTTTTGCTGCTCCTTACCGTCGCTCATGCGATGCTCGGAGGTGGTCCCGCAGACGGGGTGCCAGAGGCCAGTGAGAATTGGTTGCATGTTCGTGGTTGCCTTATCACTCATCTCAGGAAAGCGATGGGGAGTCCTTAAGTGCAGCGAGCCCTTGAGACCCCGAGTTGCTGAGCCTGCTCGTTTCACTACATGTCCTGAAGTCGTGTGGCTGTGCGCCCGTCGTGCTTCGGGGCAAGAGGAGCTGCCGATGCTGCCGTTCCGCATCCGCACAAATGCCCTAAATGCCCGGTGCCAGGCGTTTTTGACAGCTGGCTCTGGAGCACGGAGATGGTAGGACAGGAGAGAGCCATGGCCATGGGTGGACGCCAAGGCCAAGGCCAGCCTCCACGCTTTCCGAGTCAAAATTTAAACCGCTAACGCGAGACCGGAGGCTGTCGAGGGGTGAGAGCAAACGGCTCTCGCCGCCGTCCACCCTCCCCCCCCCCCCTTCCAAAAAAAAACTCTTTCGACGAGACGATTGCAATTGTGGGGCCCTGGATCTAAACGCCCCAGGCCTCCGGCCTCGGCGGATTTCAACCTTGTTGCTATTCATTCGGGGAACCATCGGGAACCTGCTCGAGACAGGTCCCACCTCAGCAAATTTCAGCTTCATGCAAAGGTATTCTCAAAGTGCTCACACATGGTTGCAAGCCACTTGCATGCCAATCACAGCCCCGAAAGGACTTCCTTGATGGGAACTCGTCGGTCGCAGCCTACCTGCAGTGTGACAGGCGCCGCGGATGGTTTGCCTGGTCACGCCATCCTTGCTGCTTTGGCCTCCACGTCAGGAATCGGCTTGATGTTGGCATTGACCTTCTCAAGCATGCAGAATTCAAGCCTGATTCTCAGGGTCCCCCCCTCCCAAAAGGCAATGCATGCAATTCCATGGTTGAACTTTCTATTCCACAACGGCAGACTGCCCAGTGAACAAAGTCGCGAAAGCTAACGCAGCGATGCTTTCGTTCCTATCTGGTTTAGCAGTAGGTCGGGAAGCCGGAAGTGATTGATTTTCAGGAGAAAACCACACCCCCCCCCCTTCTCTCCTCACTGCTCACCACAAGGATGTAGAAAAGGAAGAAGAAAGGCGATTATGACGGACGATGGCAATGAACATCTTTTTTTATTTTCTTCTGCTGCTGCTGCTGCTGCACATGACGAGATGTCAATCCTGATGATGATGATGATGATGCTGATGATGATGGTGATGGTGATGCTGCTCACGTTGATGCTGATGCTTATTCTGATGATGACGATGATGGTGTTAAAGAGGATGACTTTTCTTAACCACACTGAACCACGGACCATCATGATGATGAGACCGATGATGTTGGGTCGTGTTGACGATGATGCGGTTGACGCTTCCTTTTCTGTGTTCTCTTGAGCATGCAGAAAAAGATGGCGAAAGCGACGATGGACTTGTTGTTGATGACGTCTCTGATGACGTTTGCTGATCATGTTGACAATGGTGCTGTTTTGTTTTTTGCTGTTGCTGCAGCTGCCGGTGACAATCATGAGAATATGATGAGACGGATCACGTGAAGGATGCTACAGTACCTGCTGCTGCTGATGATCATGATCATGATGATGACGAACCCCCTCCCTAACCCCCCGCGGTCAGCAAGCTTCTATGGATGGTGGTGAGGCTGGGTTAGGCTGCTGATGATGGTGCTGATGATGGTGCTGATGATGATGATGATGATGATGATGATGGTGATCTTGCTGGCGTTGATGCTGATCGTGATGCCACCGCCACCACCACCCCAGCCACCCCCAGCACCGCCACCGGCAGCGGCACAACCATCACCGACACCACCTGCAGCGGCACAGGCACCAGCACCCGCACCAGTTTGCAATCAGTCTATGATCGAGAGATGGTGGGGTATGAGGGCTGCGGGACCCTCTGCCCGCTTAGCTTTCAATCGCTGGCCCCGCCCCTCCGGTGATGTGGCTGAGTCAGGCGCTGCTGTCAGGAATGTCGACATCTCACCAAGCGGCCATGTCAATGTGAGAACTATCAATATTTCCAAGGTCACCTGCAATGCTGTCCAAAACATGCATTGCTCTCTTCCCGATGGATGGAATGAAGAGGCAAGGAGGGGCAGAACAAGGACGATTCAATGGGTAGTCAGTAGACGTCGGTACTGAGCACTGGCCCATGCAGAGGTTAGATTCAGCGTGGTGTGACTGCCTTCTGTTTCAGCTTGGGCTCAAGAAGCTCCGGTCCGCATCCCCATCGCGCTGCCGAGGATGTGGGAATCCAGGACAGCCTGCCAAGACTAAGCAAGAAGATCTACAAATGTCAGAATCGCTTTCTGTTCTGATTTTCGGTGCTGGAGGACTGAGCTGTTGGAATGCTGGATTTGTCGCGATGTCGGCAGCGAAGCCTTGGTCCGGCCATGTCTTTGTCGGGGCTCTATGGCAGTTCACGCATCCTGCGTTGAAGCGTTCATTCAGCATCACCGTCGCAGCGCTGGCACTGGTCCGGAAGTTCCTTCTTGCCCTGTCTGCCGTACTCCGCACCTTGGACAAGCACGCGTTCTTGCAGTCCAACTGTTTTCAATGTGTAGAGAGCGCAAGTGTGTGTGAGATACTGTGAGATCATGAGCATGTTGGATGGTAGGTTACTGCAAGGTACGGAGGCCACGACTGCGCTCCGGGTCCAAGAGTTCTGGTGCGACAGGTGACGCGCTGCTTTGGTCATCAACTCATGCTCACAGTCGCTGAGGCTTTGCGCTTCATAGCCTTGGGCACGCTCCTCGTAAATTTCTGCAGACAACCAACCAGGATTAGCAGATTTGGCCCTGATGCTGTTTTCAGCTGGCAATGGATCTCGGCAAACTTGGCTGCCATTCTTCTTGCCATTTTCTTGTTTCACACATTGGCAGTGCTATTGGTATCGCTGCCGCCTAGTCGCGCACCGCCACAAAATCAGATCAGCAACCGGTTCTTCACCGCAGATATGTGGAGATTAGCGCGTCACGTAGCAGAGCTCTTGGCGACAGTGCTTCTCCTCGGCGCTCGATGGATTTATGGAGACTTGCCGCTTTCATACTTCATGCCAGTAGGCTTGGTTGCGCTCCTTCCATTGGGGCAGCTTCTCCTTTGGTACAGACCTGCAGACTGCTGCAAAGAAGCGGCTCTTATGCTGGGCTGCTTGGTCAGCGCTCCGTGGTTTTTGGCTGTGGAGCTCATGCAGCGGGCATGGCAATGCAGACTTAGCTTCTGCAATCCGCGTCATGGTCCATTACACCTTCTGCTAGCCCTTCTGGCGTGTCCGCTGGCACTTATGCGATGGTCCAGGAAGCCAGCTTTGGCTCTCTATGCCATACATGGCCTCATCATGGCAGTGTTGCTATTGGAACGAGCACTTCGCTGCGACACTCTGACTCAGGCAGCGCTTGCCAGCCGTTGCTGTTGCTGCTGTGGGATCCTAAAGGTTTTGGACCGGACAAGGCCGACGCAGGAAGATAGACAGAACCTGACTCCCATCAATCAAATTGATGCTGCCAATCGCGTTGTGGGCAATGTCCGAGAGAGTGCCTGGCGGCCTGGGAAGACTTGGTTTTTTGCAGTGCTGGTTGCGTTGGAGGCATTCAGTTTGGCTGTGGAGCAGAAGTGGGTCTGGTGCTCGGTTGGAAGGTTGAGACTGGGGAGCTATCTCAGTGTGAGTTAGATAGATTTAAATCTGAGCATAAAGTTGTTTGCGATCACGGCGGATTTTTCCGTTTTGCCCCGTATTAGACTGCTGAAGACAACTTGAGGCATGTACAGTATGGTTCAGGGTGGAGGGATCTGAGTATTGCGCATAACACGGTGCTTATGATAGCCCTGCGCAGCATATGCTCTGTGCATGTCTGCGAAATTCATCCTCGCTACAGGAATTATACATGATGCACATTTACACGTCTCTTACAAGTAGGTCTTTATGAAAGTCTCTACGTGTATGTGCACTTGGTTGAACTTTGGATCTAGCTCCTTCAACCGTTCAAGGTTAATTATCTGCCACTAGCATCCATCCATCTATTTCTTTTTGGAGTGTCCTTGTTCAATTAGTTCTTGCTGGCACGTGTTGTGATGCCAGAAAGGCAGTGTATCTGCTAAAGGGTGCCTTGTTGCTTGGGTGGTGTTGATGAAGGAATAGTCAAGTACACCACGTCGTATACACGAGATAGAGGAAGAAGCGACGTAATGTCCAGATACAGCCGATCCGTGCCATTCCCGTCGAGCCCGCGGGGCTGTCCGAATTCCTACAAGATGTGCCCAGCGTGTTTTGCAGGATTTCAGACATGCAAGGCTCCTGTATCCCCTGACATCGGCAGCACTGTCACCAAGACAGCAGCACTGTGACTGAAGAAGACTGCCTTGAAGCCAATGGAAAGCAGCGAAGTCGTGAAGGCCTCCTCCTCTCCAAAGAAGCGAATTCCCATCACCAAGACGACCAAAGCTGTAGATGGTCATCCGGTGACCACAAAGGCAATCAAATTACCACAGAAAACACAAACTCCAGTAAAGGTGACCCAAGTACTTTGCAGGAGGCCACCTGCCGTGTCCATGTTGCTGAGTGGGCCGGCGCAGGCGCCATGATCTGTACACTGCCCAGCGAACGTCGGCATGTCAAAGATGCCAACGTGTGCAGCCCCATGCGCTTCCTCAAAGCCAATGTTCACCGTGAAGACAAATTCCCCACTTCGAAGGGCAACATTCCAAAAAATACTCCACTCGGCGGCTGGGGTTGAGCCGACCTTCCAAGTTTGAACGTTCACCGTATTTGCCCTCAGCCATGTGCCTGCGGACTCTGGTCGCGAACATTCTGAGCTCCTACCGTATAGACACTTGTTCGCCGAAAACTCAGGAGAATAGCATCATTTTTCTACAATCCCTCGCACACTGGAAGATGCCTGTTAAGTGAATCTCAGTATTGGTGGGTGTATATTCGTTTTTGACGCGCCCCCTACCTAAGAT